CACACACACACACACACACACACACACACACACACACACACACACACACACACACACACACACACACACACACACACGTTGGGCCATTCACATGAGCTCTGCGACTGAACCGTCCGTGCTCCATCAGCTCCACAAATGCATCACACACCAAAGGATCTGCTGCTGCAGACACCTCCATTGGCTCATTCGGATTGGTGGTTAGTTGTGCTTGTTCACCAACTCCCACAGATAATAGCTCCGTGTTATTCATAATCCTGAGCTCTAATGCGCAGAATGTCATTGGAATGTTAAAGCTAGCAGCAGACCCATGTACAGACTCTCCATGTCGGTTTTAGGGTCTTTAGCCGTTTGGGGGTCCAGCCCTGTCTGGATCTTCATGTGTGTTCCCAAAAGTACCATAAACATTTCCGGGTAAGCGCCTGAGACTCGAACCACCATCCCAGGTGCCTCCCTTTAGGGGAGAGACGGCCCCCCTCCAAACGTTCCAGACAGGACCACAGACCTGGACATCAAGATCCCGGCAATCTGTATCCGGTCTGGACGTCTGGATCATTGGCGATTAAACCACCGGCACTTTTGATCCTACCCTTGCAGAGCCTCTAAACATGCTTGCCCTTAAAAAAAAAGGGAACCGGCGCAAGAGGGCCTTCTTTCGCTCAGGTAGGTTTAGATTTGCACTTTCACAAAAGCCATTGACGTTTGCTCACATTTTCTAACCCAAGCAATCTCCTCAATGCCCACAGCGAACAGCCAATTCGTTCTGGAGACATGTTACCCGAATGGCCCGGGAGCACTTGCCCGGCCAGGCCAAAAATGAATTAGAAAACACAAACAAAATATTTCATTAATTTTAATTGTTATTTTCAATTTGGAAATGGATTTGATCCGACCCTGAGGCAAAAGTTGTTCAGTTTATTTTTCGGCACAACATAGTTTTTTTTTCCGGACTTTTTTACCCTTGCGCTTTTTTTTTCCGGACTTTTTAACCCTTGCGCGTGGGCAACCAAGGTGACCCGTGCGGCCCAGTTGGTACCAAAGTCCTGGAGTGGAGGGGATACCCCCCTTGACGCTGTAGGTTGAATTTACTCACCCTCAGTTTTGCTTGACAGGTCTTAAGAGCTTGTTCAAACTCCTGTTTCTGTTGGAATAGTTCTGCCGCGCGCTGTCGTTCCATTGCCAGTTTCTTTTGCTCTCCTTGCAATATCATCAGAGTAGACTGCAGCACCAGTGCAGAAAAAAACAACATTGGAGTTTTAGAACCTAGACAGTGTACACACTAAAATGAAAACCAGGCAGACCCCAACAGTGAAACGGTATTCACCAGTTCGAAGTAGCTGATGCAGGACCCAGGGTTCGATCCCTAGTTCCCCAACTTACCTGTGAACAATATCTGTGACAACTTGAAGAATTGAACCTGCGACCTGTAGGACCGCCAGTGGTAAGTAGGTCTGTCGTAGGTCTTTAGGTAGCCAGGATTTGATCCATAGACCTGTAGAGTAGAAGTCCAGCTGCAGTCCTTCTAGAAG